AAGTGGGGATGCTTCCCAGATGAGGAAGTGACACCAGCAACTCCCTGATGTCTTTGCTCATCCTCAGGGGCTGTCTTGAAGCAGGGCTGGAGTCCCTGCTGAAGGCAGCTGGTGGGAACCTACTGATCCTACGTATCTCCCACTGTCCCAATATCCTCACTGACCGGTCACTCTGGCTGGCCAGCTGCTACTGCCGTGCCCTGCAGGCTGTCACCTACAGGTGGGTCTTCCCTTCCAGAAGCTCAACTTCCACCTTCTGTGCTTTGATGCCTAGATACCACATGGCCTTGCCTCTTGGCAGGAACAGAGGCCATCAAGATGGTTCATTTGAGCTTTGACTTTTCCACAGGAGTGCCACAGACCCTGTTGGTCATGAGGTAATCTGGGCCCTGGGTGCAGGCTGCAGAGAGATTGTCTCCCTCCAGGTGGCACCACTTCATCCCTGGTAAGCCTAGGCAAGGGGGTAGGTTGGGAGGGAACAGCAGGGTCTGGTCTGGGGCTGAGGACTGGACGGGACTCAGCAGGTCAGCTGTTGGGAACAGATTACACATTTTAATCAGTGTGTGTTAATAAGGAGCAGGGCTGTAATATGGAACCTGCAGTCTCTCTCTGGCTTGCTGGCAGTGACACTAAGTATTATATATTTGGGGGGCAGGGGAATCAGGTATCTGTGTGGCGGTCAGGGAACAACTTAAAAGGAGTCCACATGTGAGTCTCTGAGATCAGATTTAGGCCATCAGGCTTGGTAGTAACCACCTTTACCCATCAAGCTGTCCTGACAGCCCAGCATTGCCACTCAAACCTTAGTTTTGCAACTTAGATTATGAGAGCTGTTATTGGCTCACCGATGTCCTGTCCATGGAGATTGCAAAGTCCATATCGTATGTGTGCAGTCAACACTAGCCAACATAGCATGAGCAGGTCAGGGAAGTCAGTAAATAATGCATAAAGGAAGCTGGGTGTGGTATCTCACACCTGTCACCCTAGCTACTCCAGAGCTCAGATTGAAAATTTGAGACCTGTATGAGCCACTTAGCAAGATCCCATCTCAAAACAAGAACAAATTGGTTGTTGTTGGCGAATCCCAGGTATGAATCATCCCTTGCTCTGCTTGGGACTTCCTTGGATTCCCAGGCTTGTCTGCTCTGCTGCTTACCCTGCTAGTGGTTTCCCTATGTGCCAGCTCCTCCCAGACTCTCTGGTGAGCTTTTTCTAACACCCGGGTGGATTCTGTCTTTGTGGTTCCATAGTAGGCTCCTATTGCCCCTCATCCTGACCTTAATATCATCAATTCTGTAGTAATTTCTACTTCAGGCTTCTCTAACTAGACTTAATTCCCAGGGCGGACTCTACAAAAGTCTGTTTCTATGTCCTTGCTCCCATGGGCATATCAGATGACAGGTACTGTTGCCTGAATGGAGGTTGAGGGATGGCGTTTGGTGTGACTAGGGCAGGCAAGCCAGCAATGATGGACAGGCAGGCTGGGAAACGTCATGAAGGCCTTGCTAAAAGATGCAGATCAGTGCATCTTATCTAGAAAGTACCAGGGCGCTATTGGGGAGATTGTCAGTTTTAAGAAGGGTATATTGAGCCCGACATGGTAGTACACACCTGCCGTCCCAGCTCTTGGGAGGTAGAAGCAAGAGAGTCAGCTGCATCATGAGATTGACGTCGCTCAGTTTGGGCTGCCTGAGACACTCCTTTTAAAAAATGTAAACAAAAAGTAGAGGTACCAAAAGCTAGGTATGGTCTATAACCTCAGCCCTTGGGAGGCTGAGGCAGGGGGATTGCTGCCAGTTCAAAGCTAGGTGGCAGGGGCAAATTAAAGTCAGAATGCTGAATGTTGTATGTCATGGACTGTCTGTGCTTTGAAGGTGGGAGCTGTCTTCATTGTCAGTCTGAACTTCAGGGCCCGGCTCAGCTGTATCTGGCCACCAGGTGGAGGGTGAATGCAGACCCGGGTGGAGCTCTGGTCTACAGCTCTCTCTGGGTAGCTCCAGAATCTGAAGCTGCCAGATGCAATAAGAAGGGAGGGGGCAGAGTCAGAGATGAGCTATTTTCTGACTTGAACAGCTGGGTTGTTGGCAAGGTGCTTGCATAAGGCATGGATAGGATCCTCCATGGAAGATCACACTTGGGACTGCAATGCCTCCCTGACCAGACTTCACTCTCCGTTCTTCAGCCAGCAGCCCACCCGGTTCAGCAACCGCTGCCTGCAGATGATTGGACGCTGTTGGCCCCACCTCCGGGCCCTGGGTGTAGGTGGTGCTGGCTGTGGAGTACAGGGCCTGGCATCACTTGGTGAGTATTTTCTTGGGGTTGGATTGGGTAGGTAAGAAGCAGGCAAGGGTGAGACGCTGCCTATGAAATCCCACCAGAGTTAGGGGCTGCAGCCTGGGTGATGGTGAGTGACTGAGTGCTGGACAGGAGGTGGGCCAGGGAATTTGTCACCAGGCTTCTCTTCTTCCTCTCCTAGCAAGAAACTGCATGCGGCTACAGGTCCTAGAACTGGACCACGTGTCAGAGATTACCCAGGAGGTGGCAGCTGAGGTCTGCCGGGAAGGCCTGAAGGGACTGGAGATGCTGGTGCTCACGGCCACCCCTGTCACCCCTAAGGCCCTGCTACATTTTAACAGTGAGCAATGGAGGTTTGGGGGTGCAGAGCCAGGGTGTGGGTACAGCCTATGCTTGGACATTTTACAGCATTGAGTGAACTTTTCCTGAGGAGATGCATAAAGTTGCCTGCTCCTTGCAGAAAGGTCACCTATGATGTACCAGATAGTGCCACAGACTCCAACTTGGTGAACCGTGGAATTTATTGGGTTTATTTACAGAGCATGGGTGAGGGTTACTTGCAGAACGTGGGTTACCCCAAAGCAGCCATACCACTCAAAAGTCTCATCGGCATAGATGATGTCTATCAGTTGTATAGGTGGAGTGCTCTTCACACTCTAGTCAGAGTCTAAAGCCTCCAAAGTGCAGCTGGGGCAAAATTGCACACATCTGGCAGAGACAGGGAGGAGGGAATGCTGATAGCCCAGGTGAGGGTCTATCTGATGACTCTCCAATTCTTCTATGAGGAAAAATCAACAAGACCAATCTTGAGGGTCCTTTGGGATAGTTATGGCCACTCTGATGAAATGGTAACAGCTGTTTTGTTCTCTACTACAAGCAGGCAATGTAACTATTTCCTAGTGCTCTAACCAGCACGTGCTGGTGCTTAGGCAGACAGAGCAGTGTCCTCCCTTGTTTGTTCAGCATCTCTGAGGCCAGGGTGGCACTCTAGGCCCAGCAGCATTTAGTGCCAGCTGTTTAGCGGCACAGGATAGCTACTGTTCCATGCTGGGCCCACGGTGGCACCAGGAGTTGTGTGTGTGGTGCCAGTAGTTCCTGTGTGAGCCTCCCACCGGGGTAGAGGCAGAAAGCAGACAGGCAAAGAGCATCAAGGGTTGTGATACTGCTCTTCAGCATGTGACTTTGCCTTCTGAATTCTGCAATCTCATCTTTTGACTTCCTAGATGGTAAAGGACACAGTATGTTTAAGTCCTCAGGGACATTTCTTGGGGTAAGGACTTCACTCTGACTCCTCTGCTGCCCATATCATCCCATCAACTCAGTCACTCCTCTGCCTTCACTGTGGATGACCACTCAGGACTATTGGCCTCTGGGAGGTCTCCCATGCAAACTGATTGAAGGTTCCTTGTTTTTTTTCCCACTAGTACTGGGTTAAACCCAGTGCTTTAAGCGCTGCAATGCTAAGCTATGCCCCCCACCCCTTATGAGGCAGTCTCTCTGCAAAGTCCTGGCTGTGCTGGAACTCACTTTGTAGATCAGGCTGGCCTTGAACTTACTGAGGTCTGCTTGCCTCTGCCTCCCCAGTGCTGGGATTGAAGGCAAAGCACCACCATGCCTGGCCTTTTTGTTTTTTTAACTTTGAGACAGTTTCTCCAGGCAGGCCTGCTTTAGCCTTTTGAGTAGCCAAGGTGACAAGCCTGGGCCACCATACCTGTTTCTTTGACCTTATCACCTCATAGGCCCTATTTACCTTCCTTAAACCTTGTCCACCTAAATGGATCACCAGAACTCACTACTAAGTCCCCCAAATCATGCTCTCTAGGTCCCTCCCAGCTCCTGACCTCACTCCACCTCTCCCTGACATCATATCCAATCAATGTCTTGAAGCCAGGGCACCTTGGCTTGCCACCTTGATTGCCACCTACCCACCCCACTTCACACTCAGCCTCAGTTCAGCAGCTTTGCCCCTTCCCCCAGAAAAAGACATAAGGACGGGTCTGGGCCTGCTCTGGACACAGAGTCTGGAGTCCTGCTCAAGACAAGGTCTACATCCAGTTTTGGGGAGTTGACCTCTATCTCCACTCTACATTTGGCTGGCCTATAGCCTCTATGTTTCTATATAATTATATAGGGGGAGATGTGAGGAGCCACACTCACATTCGCCATTACAAGATGGCGCTGACATCCGCTGCCGGATCAAGTAAACAACATTGGTATACATATGCCTAATGTTTTTCCACTGCCTAGCCCCGCCTATTCCATGGCGTCATATAGGGTGACGAGTGATGCACCTATCGCAGTTGTACACACATGGCTCAGAGAGAGGGAGCCTTTATAAGGGGACGGGATTCTTGGCTCGGGGTCTCCGCTCTGATAAGCTTATGCTCTCCTCTCAAGATACATTAAAGCTTTACTGCAGAAGGATCCTGATTAGTGTCCCCATGTCGTTTTTGCTGGCGAGGCGATCGCGCGGGACAGTACAAGCCATTCCTTCTGCCAGAAAGTTGCTAGGGCACTGAGTAGCTTGCTGTTACATACTGGTCTTCCCAGAATATCTTCACCTGCCTTCTTAAGATGTTCTGTTATGAGCTGCAGCCAGCACAGGCTGGGCACTCTAGTTCTTGTGGCTGGCCCATGTGTTTCTCAGTGGGGCTCTCATTTCATTCATGAGAGGATGCGATGCAGCACGCTGCCCTTACCAAGCACTGTCCCTGTACTTGCCTCCCCCCAGGCATCTGCCGGAACCTCAGATCCATTGTGGTGCAGATTGGGATTGCTGATTACTTCAAAGAGCCCAGCAGCCCTGAGGCCCAGAAGCTGTTTGAGGATATGGTAACAAAACTCCAGGTGAGAGGTGGGCTCTGAGGCCATAAAAGACCCCTTGGCTGGGGCTGGTGAGGGTGGCAGTAATTCACCTGCCCAACAACAAGAAAGAGCTAACCTAGGGCTTTGTCTATAGGCCCTGCGGCGGAGGCCTGGCTTCTCGAAGATTCTGCACGTCAAAGTTGAAGGTGGCTGCTAACCCGGGTGAGGGGCGGCAGGGCCCCTGCCAGCCCCACACCAAGGCACTCTTTGGACCTCTGGAGGCCTAGAGTTAAACCAGGTTCCAGACAGTGGTTGAGTACCCTGTCCAATTGGAACAGCAAAGTGACAGGTGACTCAGAACACTGCCTCCCCAGGGTAGGGGCTTGGACAGAAGCTGCCCTGAGACCCTCCATGACATCCCCAGCTGGAGCAGCCTCCTGGCACAGCCAGCAAGGAGCTGGCACACCAGCACCTGGTTGTCACCACTCAGAGGATCTGCAGGAACCCTCAGCAGCTCCTCAGCTGCACAGGCAGGTCTCCTTCCTGAGGCCAGCTCCTGGTCAGGAGCCTCTGTCAGGTCACAGGCCAGAAGGGACTTAAGGCAGCTCAGATATGGCAAGGAGGACTCTTCTCCCCTTTGCCTGACCAAGCCCTCTGCAGGGCACTCCATCAGACAGCAGGCCTCTCTTCCAGGTCCACATTGTCCAGTGATAATCCAGGCAAGCCTAAGAAAGAACCCAGGTAGAAGCTTAGGGGAAAATATGGGCAGGCCATAGGGATGTGTTTAGAAGGGCAAAACAATGTCTATAACTCCCCAGGATGAGGCCCACACCTCCCTAGCAGGTAAAGGACTAGCCAGTTGGAGGAGACTACTATAAGACAAAGACTTCCATTATCATACCCCAGAGCTAAGCTTAAAGCATACTTACTTACCCATTCCTTGCTGAAGGACCATTTGGGGGAGGCAGGGACAACCCTGGGCTCAGTGGTGCTGAGGCTTGGGGAAGAAGGGGCTTGCTTTACTTACCAGCTTGTTCGAGGCAAGAAGCCTGATACTGGTGTCAAGGGAAAGGAAAGAATTTCTGCAGCCCACCTTCCTGAGTCTTCACAGCCCTGGGCTGAGACTACAGTAGAATACTTGGGGAAGGGTGTCACGGGCCCTTGCACCTAATCCAAGTCAATGAGCACCAGAGTCACACAGACCGAGTGTCCCTTAACTGAGCTCCTCCTTTCGGAACTTGCAGTGGCTGAGGCCATGAGTCTTGGCGTCCCTCACTTGGGCAGATCTTTCAAATACCTGGTCTCATTCAAATCTTAGGGTTTTTTTGTTTTGTTTTGTTTGGCTCCTGTACAAGGAGGGATCCTCTTGTCAGTTTTCTACAGCTGTGCCACAAGCTCGTCTGTGCATGAACCCAGATGTGGGTCGCCGCCTACCAAGTCCCTTCCATTGCTGATCAATGCTCCCAGATCCCATAGCTCCATCCCAGTTTGGCACCATCACTGAGTTATGTGCTTTGTTCCGTCCCTGCTCTTTGAAAACTGAAATGCCAAGGCTGTCATGGATACCCCATGTCTAGTCCTGCATGCAACCTTGGCTGTGGTATCTATGTCCCTACCTCTCACAGCAGCCTGCAGTTGCTCCCACCTCCCCAGCCCTGTCTCCAGAAGTCACAGGCAACAGCACAACTTTCCTCACCTTCAGTGGCTCAGAAGGGAGGTGGAGGGTGCACATGGGCGGGGGGCAGGGGGGGACAGCTGCATCCATGTAGGCCCAGTTCCCTGTGATTCCAAGACCAGAGGTGCTGCCCTTCCTGCATCCTGGATAAAGCACAAAGTGATGTGGTAGTTGGCCAAGCCTCCCCCCACCCCAGGGGTTTCCATTCCTCAACCCTAGGATTTGGTCAACTCCCTGGGCAGTGGAGGCACCAGAATGCCTGGTGTTGAGGGAACTAGGTCAGGTGCACAGCCATCAGAGTAGGAAGCAAGGTCAAAATGATAGTTCCGGGCTCTACTATATCTACACCACATCCTGATCCATGGAGAGGGAAATATATCCCCTTCTGTTGGCATGTCTGCCCACTGAAAAGATGTTTCCAAGAAACCCCAAGAGGTCTCACCTGTGGTCTTCCTGACTAAAGGTGGGTAAGGTAAAAATTGTAGGCCTAAACCTTTACCAACCTAAGATACAGGTTGCTGTGTCCTGGCTGAGTCTTAGGCATCTTAGTCTTCAGGCATGCCTTGAGAGCCAGCAGCTCTGCCCCCGACTTGTGGTTCCTTTGCTTTCTCCCCAGGGGACCAACCCTGCTTCTGGGTGCTGTGCTTCTCAAGGGCCAGAGTTGGGAATGGGGCATCTGGCTTCCTTAAAGCACCATAGCCCATCTTCAGGCCCTCAAAGGGAAGCCCGCTGTGTCTTATAAGGTACAAAACACATGTGAGACATGCCCTGCTCCAGAAGCACAGGATGGAGAGGCTCACGGGTGGCAACCACCTGGCCTCTCTTTCCCTCTTTCCCTCCTACCCTTGCCATACTGCCTGGCCCTAACACCTGTGAAGTGTAGCATGTTTGGCTTGAGTACTTCATGCTTATACAGGCTGCTTTTCCCCATAGTATGGCAAAAATGTATGCACTCCTGTCCAGATCCCCAGCAATCAGGTGGTGGTTTTTTGTTTTTGTTTTTGTAACCCTATGACAACAGAGGCCAAGTTAGCCTCTCAGGAATTGCCTCAGAAACCTAACAAAGAGGCCTCGTTCCCAAGGCCTACTGCCACAACGTTTGGATCCATGCTTTGCCTTCAAGTCTTTCCTGTCCCCAGCCCTTAATGTAGAATGCTTCTGAACACAGGCAGTGAGCTGTCAACCCCAGTCTCTGTAAGGCGCAAAGTTAAAGGAAAACTTCCCAGAGTGACAATTGGTGCCAAAGACATAGTTTCTGGTGAACTTGGAGGAAGGATGGCTTAGTGGGATATGGCCCACTGCCCAGAGTTAACCACTGATGAGGTGTATCCTAGCCTGTCAGTCCCTGATACTTGGCAGTCTTTTACCCTTGGTGGCCGGCCACTTTCTCATCCAGCCTTGGCTCAGGCAGCATCTCTGTATATATTACTGTGTAGTGTGTATATTTACTCCTGGACAAGTGAGCTCAGCTGTAGTCCTTGCCCAGGGACAAGGCTGAAGGTTGGGTGAAGAGCAGAACAGTAGGCTTTCCTCAACTCTTTGGGACCTTAGTCCAAGACTGCCCGACAATCAAGCAGGTACCCCACTATGAAGCCAGCTCTGGGCCTCTGCCGTTATCACAGCCCGGGAGACGGGGCTTGGCCTGGAACCCCCAGCCTCTCTACTCAAACCTGGCAGGGGTCTCAGAGACCTGAGGTGGCTCAGGCTTGCCTTGTAGCTGGTGCAGTTGGCTTGGCTCAGAGGGCACTGCTAGTAGCACATCTGGCCCCTAGGCCCTGCCTTTCCTGCACAGCCAGGCTGCACCCTGCACCCTGCACCCTAGGCAGAAGGGCAGAGAACAGCTTGTGGTTTTACTTTTGTTTCTAAAGTGGTGCCTGTACCTCCAGCCCCCAGGGGGCTTCCCTGGCCCCACTTATTTGCCCCATCCAGGCATTGCCATCCCAGCACTTTGCTCCATGTCACCCAGATGCCCTTTGCAGAATGTATTGAGCATATGTACTTAAAAGGACTCAATGGGCATCAGAGAATTTATGGGTCTGTATCCAATAAAAGGTGATGAAACTGAAGAAAAAAAATGGTGTTTGGTCCAGGAAAATATGTAGTGTACAGCCATATTTGTCAGACAACAAACCCCTACTCTTGCTTCTGAGAGTCTCCTATAGCCCAGGCTGGCCTCAAACTTAATACTGAAGACAGCCTTGAACTCCAGCTTTCTGGTGCTAAGGAATACATGTGTGCATCGTGCCAAATTCATGTGCTGCTGGGATTTGAACCGAGGCTCTCTATGCATGCTAGGCAAGCACCCCACTGACAGACGTCCTCATAGCTTTTCTGCAGCTATGGACACTGAGACGGGGAAGTCAGGTACCCTCCTTAGAGTTGCAGACAATGCTGGAAAAAGGCCTGTGACTGTTCAAGCCTGCTTTGGTGTCCAAATATACCAAGTCTCCATTCCAAGGTAAACTCAGATAGGCAGAACAGAAAAGCAGTTGGGACTGCACCCCACAAAGGCTTAGTCCCTCTGGCTGCCAATCATTTTACCTATGAGAAACTAAATTGCTACCATAGCCTGGTCATAATTTCCCCAATTTTATATAATGGGTTTTTCATGTTAATTAATAGCTCCTAATCTGTTTAAACACATACACCCCAAACAGGTATCCGGCTTAAACTGCATAATGTATAAGTAATCCTTGAGAGCCAGCTGTTCCAACATGATCACAGGAAGGATGTCACACTCCAGGGTACACACCTGCCTACAAATCCTATCCTGCTTCAAGACCATTTAACCATGAGTGCAGGGTTCAAATTCTTCTCTATTTCTTCCCAGTTTCAGAAGGCAAGAAGTTTAATTACTCAGCACAACCCTTTCAGCTCTAATAGCCACTAGCTACAGCTCTAGCTTGGGACAGTTAGTAGAACAGACACTGGCAGACCCCGCCAGTCTTCTGTGCCAACCATTAACTGTCCCTGGTCACAAGAAAGCTGGAACTGGGATGGTGGCACAAGCAAGTCATTCCAGCTCACTCAAAAGACAAAACAGGTCAAGGCCAGCTTGGACAGCTTAGTGAAACCTTAACAGTACAAAAACATCAACCCAAAGTAAAAATAGGGCTGGGCACATAGCTCAGAGTGGCAGGTGCTTGCTTAGCAAACATCATGAGGCCCTGGGTTCAATCTACAGTACCAGTTTAAACAAGACTCTCAAGGTGACCGAGCATAAGAGAACAGCTCCAAGGCATTATGAAGGTGCTAGAGCCCAGAGATTCCGTGACACCCTGACATTCTTCCCAGAACCATCAGAGAACATGAGATGTGGAAAGCAGACGAACATAATCAATCCATCTACTGTGATGGAAGCAATTCTGTGCCGTACCCAATCTAGGACTAAAGACGACACTAGGAGAAAAGCCACCACACATCTCCTAGCTACTGCTCAGAACTGCACCTGCACTGAGATGTCTAGACAAGGGCAACTGAATTATTTACTACTGCTTTGGCAATCTCATTTTGAAAGGCAGGAGGTTGTTTATGAGAAAAAC